GCAGATGAAGAAAACTATGGCACACTTACATTGGATATTGCGGGCAGGCAGTCTCAAACAGCACAAAGGTGCTCTTGCTTCAACCAAAATAATCTTCTTTTCATTCTCCCATAAGAATAATTTATATGGCACTTGACAAGAGTTGAATAGGCAAAAACAGGCAAGGAAGGAAACAACAGATGGAATGAAGATGTTAACATCTGGGATTGACTAGTGTAATGTGAAGCTGCAGTTAGTTCAAAATACTGCTGGTAGATGTTGGCTAGGGTCAGGTGGCAGGAACATTGTTCTCCTGTCCTGTTCATGGACTTCGTATAGGCATCTGATTGGCCACTGTTGGAGGTGGAATGGTGCATTAGATAGGTCTTTGGTCTGATCTAGCATGATCTTGCCAGAACTTCTGGTCTATTTTTGGATATATTTCAAGGTGATGATGCTTACTTGAAAAATCTATAGGCTTAGGGCCCATGTACCTGGATAAACACCTGCTCTCATAACTAAGGTGCCCATGTTCTGAGGCAATATTCTGGTATGCTGTTCCAGGTGATCCCTGCCATCTGAGTTCAGGTGAATGGCAATTCAAGAGGGGACAGGGGGAAGAGAGAGAATTCTCCTTGACGGTGCCTATTTGTGGAATAGTGGAACATGGACGCTTAGCATCTAACACTATCTTTTTGAGGTTAGACAAAGACACTTAAAAATGTATTTTTAACCATGCTGTTATTTATTCTATATATGCCTATTATCTCATTTTGTTTGTATACCACCCTCAAAGCTTTGCTGAAGGGCACTGTCCACGTCTTTTAAATCAGTAGATAGTTAACTAAAAGGAGAAAGAAATGATTTATTTTTATATGTATTAGGTCAAGGGGGTCCTTGGAGCAGCCTAGCATTGTCATTGGGTTACAGCCATCTATTTTGTCACAGGCTAAAGTTTTTGATTTTGCCCTAGGTTCATAGCAAAGTTAATTGTTGCTCTGTAGCCCATAGCAATAGTTTTAAGCCTTAATTTCTTATCTGCCACAATCTACAAAATTCATCGGCACTTCTTATGTACTTTGTGGCCTCTGTTAGCAGACCATCTAATTTGCTTCATCAGTTTGAAAATAATGATAATAAGTCTGGGTTTAACATCTGCTATAAAATCGGTCTATCTTGGTAATATCAACTGTAGTAGGCAGTTTGCAAAATCATCAGACATTTATCCAAGTAAAAATAATATTGGAAGATGAGTTATGCTTAATAATATCCAAACATATTAAGCGAACGATTACAAGCATTATACACAAGCCATAAAATCTAGGCTTTATGGATGAAATACATTCCCTGAGTGGCACATCTCACATTATCAGATGCATGAAATGAAATTTAGGAGGAAACATTTTACCTTTAATTAGCTCTAATTTCTTTAATCAGGTTGCCACTTAGTGTTCAAATGGCATCGATTAACCTCACAATATTCATTCATTCATCTTAACATCATTCTTCCTATCACAAACAGTAAGGGGTGTGTGTGTGTGTGTGTGTGTGTGTAAACTGGGTTTCTTTCTTCACTGTTGGGGGAGGGATCCTATTCTGCTTGGCTCTGTCACTCAACTTGGATGGTTTAAAAAAGTGATTAGACAAATTCATTAAGAACAAGGCTATCAATAGCTATATATTGCCTCCAGTATCAGAGCTGGTATGCCTCTGAATATCCATTGTTGGTGGTCACGAGTGGGACAGTATTACTGTGCTTATGTTCTGTTTCTCAGAGGCATCTGATTGGCTATTGTGAGGACAGCCTGCTGGACTAGATGATCCTTTGTTCTGATCCAGCAGGACCCTTCTTATGTTCTCATGTCCATAATGTTGCTGGGGCAACAAAATTACAAAAAAAAAATTATTACAATTATTTCCACACTATTACGGTAAGCATTCTAGCCTCCTCCCAGGTCCCAATGGAAATGGTTCAAAGAGGGTTACTGTGTACTGCTTCCTTTGCAAAACATGTACCGGTAAATACCCTGGTCTGTGCACATCTTAAGCTCTCTTTCTAAATATATTTCGAAAAGGAAGTCAGAGCTGATTCACAATTCTCAGTATCACATCACTCAGTGGCTTGTAGCTGAAAAGTGACCTATCTCCTGCCTTATACTGAAGCTAATGTTAGGCGATATGCAAGCTTTCTATTACAGTGGTCGATTCATACATGTAATTCCCTTCCAGAGACATTTTAAATTGGAAAATGTTGGGTTAAACACACAAATATATTAAAGATCAGAAACCTTGAGCATCAGTTTTTATCACAGCTGCTTTGTACCTGGCATTAGATTGTATGTACAGTTCGTTTGATGGTTTCATCAGTAGGTTCTCCAAAAACATTCTTCATAGTGGGGACTGGTTTATCCAAAGGGATCCAATACATAGGGTTGCTTACCAATGCAGGGTGTTTGCAGCTTCTTTTAAAGGACAGAATCTTGAAATTCCCCAGGTTCTTTCAGGGTCTCACTACAGTTCAGATTTGTGCTCTCCTCCTCTATTTGAAGAAGTCCTCCATTTGAAGGGCTCCCTAGTCTGGTTTAAAGATCTGAAGAAAATACCCATAAGAAGGCAGCTCAGGGGTCTTGAAGTTGCTCATCTAGAGTAACACCTGAACAATAGATTGTTGACATAAGGAACTTTGTTATCATGCATATGGTTATGCAGGATAAGACTAGAAAATTGTCTGAGACTGATTGGACCGCTATGGAGGGATGTTCTGGGCAGATGATCATTTATTCAGTAACCTTCTTCAAGGCACTTGTGAGAATGGCCCATTGATATCCTTGATGTTTGGTTTGTTATTTGAAAAACCAAATTAAACATACATTTAAAACAACAGCAGTAATCATGTTTAGTTTCTCTTTGGTGCTAAGCAAAGCTGTGTACCTTTACATTTTTAAAATACCCAAATATATAAAATGGACACATGCATGCTTTACAAATATACATGGTCCACATGGTGAGACACAATTTGCAGTACAAACCTAAACATGCTTATTCAGAAGTAAGTTCCCCTCTATTCAACGGTGTTTACTCCCAGATAAGTATACAACGTAAAGCTGCAATCCAATACTCACTTACCTGGGAGCAAGCCATATTGGATTTCTCAGAAGACATGTATAGGATTGCACTGTCAGCATATGATGCATTGGCCATGCAGAAACCAATTCAGGGGAAACATAGACACCTGCAGAGCTCAGCACCAGATTCCAGCTTTAATTAACAGCCACCCCAATTTCCTAGAGAGCAACTTCCCCACCCCACTCTCAATGCATTCATTTTGTTCAATGGTAAAAAATGCTGCAGTTGTATAGTTTACTTCAGGATCATTTTGACTAGTCATAAAAATGTTTTTAGTCTCTCCCGTGCATAAGTAGAAGACCGAAGATTATCTTCATTCCAAGTATAGGCATGGGGGAGAGAGCATGCTGCATACCAAAGGTTCACTCTACACCTTACCATCTTCCAGCATGTCTTCCTCCATGTGAAAACACTTGACCACCTTTGAAAGCTAAAGGCCACAATGCTTCATATCATAGGCATGTGATATGGAAAAACTCTTAAGTCACTCACTCTTCACTCACTCATCACTCTGCTGATGCCAGCCTGATGAGTCGTCTTCTCCTAGTATTACTTTAAAAACCCAGGAGAAATCCTGGGAATTTTGTGCAAGCTCTTTGATTATAATGCATTATACAGATGTTAAGAGCATGTTAACACTGCAAAGTTTTTGGCACGCCACGATACGTGCTGCGTGTGCCAATTACGATTTGTTAGCCAAAGAGCCTTTAAATGGTGCCATTAATTTCTTCAGCATTAAAGTAAATTATTAAGAAGGCTTTCCTAATGCTCCGAAATATATTTAATAAGATTACTTTGAACAGTTTTATGTGAATTACTGTTTAATAATGTTGGCCTTACAAAGATAATCTTTATCAGAAGAATAATCTGACCACCCTTTTTTAATAATAAAATTATCCTCCCAGGCTCATATTTCTTATAGCATTAACTGTTCACCTCAAACAAGCCTAGACTGAAAGGAACAAGCAAACCAATAAGGGTGGGTTTTTTTATCCTCTTACTGGCACACAAAATTGTATTAATAGGAGACTCTCTAATCACTGCTATTTTACAACTATCATTTGTAGTTTGGTGTGATGTCGTTAAAGAGCTGTTAAGGATGCATTAAAGTGCAGAGCAACAGACCAATGTCCTAAGGGCAAGTGTTTTCAGGTTTAGACATACCAGTCATAGCCACTTTGCTGAGAGATTCATATTTCATTGCTCAGATTTATTAAGTCCTCCATGTGCTAACAACTTCTAAATCAGCTGCTTGTGACATATTACTGGCTGTTCTCCCACTCTCACTGCCCCTACATTCTACTGCATTTTCTAAAATCTATCTCTTGCCAGAGGTTCTCATAATTTAGACAACCTAATATGACTTTTCCTTTAACTAGAATCATTGTATATTCTTTTTTCACCCAAACATTGTCCTGAAGTGTTTTAGAGAACACCAGGAGAAGAGTATGGGAGACTGTGGAATGGATTCATTGTGGAAGTGTGCCCTAGACAGCTTGGGACCTAGCTGTCTCAAGGACCACCTCCTCTCCCACATTACCTGCCCATGCATCATCCTCAAAAGGGTCATTTCCAGGTGCCATCAAACAGCTTGTGAAAGCATATTTTTGACTGCTTATTGCATTCCATCCTTACATTTATATCCCATCTTTCTTCCAAAAAAGCTCAAAGTGGTATACATGGTTTGCTCTTTCCCCATTTCATCTTCACAACAACCATGAGAGGCTGAGAGTCAGGTATTTGAACCCTGGTCTCCAAGGTCTCTACCCAAGAAGGCACGCCTGCTGTCCAAAACAGTTTTTGTATTAGGTGAAGATCATACAATCATAGAATTGTAGAGATGGAAGGCACCACGAGGGTTATCTTGTCCAGGCCCCTGCAATGCATAAATCTTTTGTCCAATGTGGAGCTTGAACCCACAACCTTGACATTAAGAGTGTCATGCTCTACTGATTGAGTTCTCTCTCTCTCTCTCTCTCTCTCTCTCTCTCTCTCTGTATATTCCTAGGACTTAAAAAAATAGTAATAACGGAAATCAATTTTATCTGTTATTTGCTTTAAAATATGTGGTGTTGTATACCAGTTACTTTGGTTCTGGCTTTTAATTTAGAGTCTGGACATGGCAATTTTGAAAGTTTAGAATCTGAACCACTCTGCCTGCCCTTGCATAATATTATCATTTGTACAGTGATACCTCGGGTTATCATCTGTCTCCTGAGAAATCTCTATGTGGGACAAGAAGCTACAGTTAGAACTGGATATGGAACAACTGATTTGTTCAAAATTGGGAAAGGAGTACGACAAGGCTGTATATTGTCTATATTGTCTCCCTGCTTATTTAACTTACATGCAGAATTCATCATGCGAAAGGCTGGGCTGGATGAATCCCTAGCCGGAATTAAGATTGCCGGAAGAAATATCAACAACCTCAGATATGCAGATGACACAACCTTGATGGCAGAAAGTGAGGAGAAATTAAAGAACCTTTTATTGAGGGTGAAAGAGGAGAGCACAAAATATGGTCTGAAGCTCAACATCAAAATAACGAAGATCATGGCCACTGGTTCCATCACCTCCTGGCAAACAGAAGGGGAAGAAATGGAGGCAGTGAGAGATTTTACTTTCTTGGGCTCCATGATCACTGCAGATGGTGACAGCAGCCATGAAATTAAAAGACGCCTGCTTCTTGGGAGAAAAGCAATGACAAATCTAGACAGCATCTTAAAAAGTAGAGACATCACCTTGCCAACAAAGGTCCGTATAGTAAAAGCTATGGTTTTCCCAGTAGTGATGTATAGAAGTGAGAGCTGGACCATAAAGAAGGCTGATAGCTGAAGAATTGATGCTTTTGAATTATGGTGCTGGAGGAGACTCTTGAGAGTCCTATGGACTGCAAGAAGATCAAACCTATCCATTCTTAAGGAAATCAGCCCTGAGTGCTCACTGTAAGGACAGATTGTGAAGCTGAGGCTCCAATACTTTGGCCACCTCATGAGAAGAGAAGACTCCCTGGAAAAGACCCTGATGTTGGGAAAGATCAAGGAGAAGGGGACGACAGAGGATGAGATGGTTGGATAGTGTTCTCAAAGCTACCAGCATGAGTCTGGCCAAAGTGCGGAAGGCAGTGGAAGACAGAAGTGCCTGTCATGCTCTGGTCCATGGGGTCACGAAGAGTCAGACACGACTAAACGACTAAACAACAACAACCTCGGGTTAAGTACTTAATTCATTCCGGAGGTCTGTTCTTAACCTGAAACTGTTCTTAACCTGAAGCACCACTTTAGCTAATGGGGCCTCCTGCTGCCGCCGCGCTGCCGCTGCACAATTTCTGTTCCCATCCTGAAGCAACGTTCTTAACCTGAGGTACTATTTCTGGGTTAGCGAAGTCTGTATGTAACCTGAAGCGTATGTAACCCAAGGCACCACTGTAGTTATTTATTTAAAGTATTTTTATCCCACTGTTCAGCCCCCCCCCCAAAAAAAGAGGGTTTCAGAGCAACTTAAAAATATCTGTAATGAATACACACTTTGTCCTTAAGTGTAAAATCTAGATGGGACAGCACAAAAGGAAAAGGGGGTGGGAGGGGAAAGCCAGATGACTATAGCCTAATGTGCCTTACAGAATATGCAGTACATTCAGTATTTCCTGTTTAATTGTTATTCATTTGGATGTAACTAGGGTTTGGAAACAGTAGGACAAATTTATACTCTGGCACAGAGCATGGTCTTTGATTTTTGTTTCCGGGGTCCAGTGCAGTTTTCACAGTTGAGAAACCACATCCATAAACATTCCTTCACTAGTAGTTGAATTTGAGTAAAGGTATTCCAGAAGTTGTGCAAATTTCCTGCTGGTATGAACTCATCGGTATATTAAAAGTAATGGGTGTTAAATGTTATTCCCATCTGGAGTCTGAGGCTGCACTGTAGAAGCAGGCCAGATTCATAAGGAAACGGAGTATTCAGAATCCATGGCCTGGGGGAATAAACTTCCTTTAAAAAAATCTATAATGGGGGAGAAAATCACCAAGAACACAGGAATGTAGCAAAGTCAGCTGAGACTTCAAGAAACAATTGTGAAACATAAACCTTTACTGTGGTTGCGTTCTACCTCTGTTTTCTGGTTTCAGATGTTTCAATGGTCTTGGTGCATTTGAGATGTCAACATTCTCTCGTTTTCATCCCAGGCTTTGCGGCAAAAGAAACAAAACAAAAAAATCCCTTAAATGAATTTTAACTCTTTCTGTTTCCTCCACTGGGTCTTTCCCCACTGCATTTCTCAACCATGGTTTATTCACAATGGATAGAACATCAAATTCCTTTTGAAACCTTATTGATACAGTCATGGAATGAGAGCTAAAATCACTGGAGAAAAAAAAGAAAAGAACTGAATAATCCAAATACTTTGGTTTCACAAGGGAAAGTTTGCAGATATATGAATGACTGCACAACTGAAAAAGTTCAGTTCTAGACTTCTTGGCTTTATTTTCATTGTGAGTTAAGTCAAGGGGTTAAGTCCACAGAATGTGTGGTCCTTTATGGTAATCTGAAATAGCCTGTGTTTTAAAAAGTCAGAAGGTATAGTCCAGGGGTAGGGAATCTTTTTCAGTAGTAATTCCTTCTGGACCACTTTCTGGGGTGGAGCAATGTATATAGTTTGTACCTTTGTACATTAGGATTTTTCTTCACCTACACGCCCCTGTATCTTAAGGCAAAAAAGAGACACCAGAAGTCAAGGACACATTCCAGCCAGGGAAAAATGTGCAAGGAAGGCACGATGAGAGGTGTGACTGGAGGATGTGCAGCCTGGGGAAGCTTCTGGGGGCCAGAGACAGACATGAGGGCCACATTCAGTGTGGTTGCCACCCCTGGCATAACCACTGACACTCTGAAAAATTCAGGCCACGGTAGGGTTGTTGCTGTAGCTTTCAGAAGATATTCCACCCAAGCAATATCAAAATTTGATAGTGTGTTTAGATAAAATACCGCATCTCTCAGCTCTCTAACCACTAGTTGAGAGTCAATTTTTAAAGTCATGTAGAAAATAATACCAGTGTTAAAATTGAAATGTTGTGATCAATACGGATGAATAACATCTCATCCCAACAGATATAGCAGAATAACCTCCCAGTGTTTAAATTTTTTACACTGAAAGTAAAAGAATTGGATGGTTGGACTGATTTTCCTTTGTTTCCAAAGTCTTCCAATATTCCAAAAAACCTATTTTTCCTCTTTAGGCTAGCTGTGCAATGCTGCGCTGGGCAGCTTTTTACTTTCATTATATTTGTTTTCTTTATGCTTGGTTGCGCCATAGAATGCTGTTCCCTATAATACTGAGCAATCTAGCTTGCAGTTTTAAAAGCATCATTCACAGTAAATAAATGTGTCTGTCAGATCTAAGAAAGGAACCTGAACGTGCTATGTCTTCTATCAAAGCACACTCCATAGGAAAACTCTTCAAAGTAATTTTAAGCACTTTCCTGCATGCACATATTTAATGGGCATTTTGGCCCAGATTATCATAGATGCTTGTTTGCTTATGGTGGTGGTGGGCAGGCAAGAGTTTGGTGATTGTGGTATAAAAATATTCTGCATGGTAGAAAGATGAAGTTAGACTTCCTAGGAAAAAGATGAACAAAAAGGCACAGTGCATCTACTGTCATAAACTTTCATGCTCCTCAGAGTGTAATTTCCAAAGTCTTGAACCCACATGTGTAAACCAAAGTACAATAAAATCTAACAGTGCAGTCCTATGCATCTATATTCAGAAGTATATTCAGTTAAGTACAATTAGGTATACTACCAAGTGTACATAGGATTGCAACTAAGTGTAAAGTTACATGCTGTAGGCTGTGATGTTAAAGCATAGTTACTAGGAAACACATTTTATTGAGCTCGGTGAGGTTTACCTATGAGCAGATTTGCTTAGGATCAGACTCCAATGGGATGTCAGATCCCAGCACCCTTGGATTCTAATTTTACCTTTACATTTTGCTATCAGGGGTCGTTGCACAAGTGAATCATTACCTGCTAAGGATCACAGTGAGAAGCTATTACCGCTTTAAACAACATGCAACCCATATTGCCTCTAATGTGGAAGTTATACAGGTGTTCTATATGCCTGCTTTGTCAAGACCATTTTCCTTGCCTTTCTTTTTCTAAATAAAAGGATTAAATGCAACAGAAATATAAAAGCAAAGTTTCTCTGTCTCTTTTTTAAATAAAACATCATAGTGAAGGTAAAACCTGCAGGGATTCAAATGCACTTGAAAGACCACTTTTAAACCATACTTGATCTAAGCAATCGAAAGGGATTTTGATAACTAATGAATACTGCATTTCAGACTGGGGCAGATAAAGCAGCCTGCCTCCTGTTTTGACCTCTTGTCCACACTAGTGAAGCTTTTTGTTTTAAAATGTCTAATTGTTTCTCAAAGTAAGGTGCCTTTTATTTTCCTTCCTTTGTTTTTCCTTTCTTTTCTTATTGTTTTGAAGACTTAATAAAAGTTCTGGTATGAAGTCTAGATAGGAATCTTGCCCCCCCCCCCATTTTGTTTGGAAAGTAATTAGGTTCTAGTTCATAGAAAACTTGTACAAGAACAAAACTTAGACCTAAGAATCCCTTTCCATAAAGAACTCACTGACAATTTATATAATTTCTTCTCATCCTCAGCTGCCACTCCTCAAAAAGATGACGGACTTCCAGTCTTCCTTGTTCAGAAGTAATGCTGAACCATAGTTAGTACTGGATTTTCTTCCCTTTTCTTCCTCTTGAATAGCCGTGAGGAGGAGATCAGAACTTATTATCCACTTCTATTTTAAATAAACTACAATTTATAATCTTGTCTAAACTGGAAATTGTGTTCAGTTTTAACTGTGGTTTATCTGAATGAGGCAGGATCATAAAACATGGTTTTATGTTGATTTGTTTGGACAAGCCATAGTTAAAGCTGTGTACAATTTGTCCTGACTTGGACATAGCGAAAAGCTGCACTTGGCTGACAGTGGAAGCAAAAGCTTCATATCTCCTCCACATTGACTTGCCATCAAGGTTCTCAGAAGCTTTATAGACTACAGGCGAGCTTGACAGCAGCATCCATAAATCTGGTTCTAGTTTCTTCTTGTCCAAAAGTACTAGTAGAGAAAGCATGGGGAAAACAACAACCATTTTGCAAATCCTCAATCATATACTGACATGTATTCTATGGACCTCTTACCATTTAGCATCTGAGTTGGAGGTATAACAAAGGGAATTGACTGTAAAATCCATAATGTTTGCATAGGCATGTACAACTAGTCTCAGATATATATGGCATGTACAACCAGTCTCTCTATCATTTATATATATATATATATATAGACTGGTTGTACATGCCATATATAAACACACACACACACATATATAACTCCATATCCTCCTGTCTTCAACCATTAAGCATATCATATGTTCTAATTAGATCTGCTGACCCATTTTTGCCTGTGCAGTAATAAATCAAAGACATAGCTCTACACCATGCACAGGGCTTTACAAGCTTGTCAGCAGTTGTGAAATCACAAGCACAGTGCTTCACAAACCCAGTGATCAGCTGCACAGCCTATACCCTCTCCTTTGGCCCAAGCCTGTTTTACCTCCCCTCAACACTTGACATAATAGATGACGTCAGATGGGTGTGACTAGGCCAAAATGGCCTGGAGGGTCAAATGAGGAGGCCTAGCAGGACTTTTTAGGCCCATGGGCCAGAGGCTGAAGGTCTTTATTGCTGTTGGATCCTATACATAGATAAGACACCATTTTCATTATGAAGAGAAGATAATATGGGTTATGCACACAATAGTTAAAATCTTTAGTGTACTTAAGATCAAACCGGATTTTTGCTAAGCACTGTGTGTGAGAGTGCAAGATCCTGACCAGGAAGGCAACACGTTCTCTTCCCAACCCAGAACGATTAGAATGGCAGCCCCACCCTGGTAAGAAAACCACAGGTGCATAAAACAGCATACTACATATTTAACAAACAGCTAGTGTGACCTAAATTTGCCTCATTTCTGATAAACCCAGAAATGTCAACATCTTTGTAGAAAGCTGCTTAAATGCAATCATGATGTTTTCCAAAAATCTGTGACACCCACAAGAAGCCTGCGTTAATGATTTAGTTTTGTGCCCTGGTACAGAAGGATTTGGAGGAGACGCGGGTGGCGCTGTGGTCTAAATCACTGAGCCTCTTGGGCTTGCCGATCAGAAGGTCGGGAGTTCAAATCCCCGCAAAAGGGTGAACTCCCATTGCTCGGTCCCAGCTCCTGCCAACCTAGCAGTTCAAAAGCAGATCAAAGTGCAAGTAGATAGATAGGTACTGCTCCGGCGAGAAGGTAAACAGCGTTTCCATGCTTCTCTGGTTTCGGTGTTCCGTTGCGCCAAAAGTGGCTTTTTCATGCTGGCCACATGACCCGGAAAAACTGTCTGCGGAGCAGACAAACGCCAGCTCCCTCGGGCTGTAAAGCGCGATGAGTGCCGCAACCCCAGAGTCGTCTGCAACTGGACTTAACTGTCAGGGGTCCTTTACCTTTACAGAAGGATTTGCTAAGACACTTGAAAGCCTGCACTCTCTTCTCTGAGAAATCGCTATCCTGCAACTCTAATTCCAAACTAGGTTTGCATCCTGATCGGAAACATTTGTGTTGACGTATCTAGCTGCAGTGCTGGCATAAATCTTGCCAAAATGCTATCCCAGCATCATCTTTGGTGGATGCTGCACCGCCATAGCTGTTAGCATCCCTTCCTCCTCCCCACCAAACGTTTATGTGCTGGCATAACAATCAAGCTGTTAAAGCATTAAATAAATGAATGAATCTTCCCCCAGGCTCTCTTTAAAGCTGCCCAGCCAAAGATGTTTCTGCTCTTACAGTAAAGAGTAGAGGAAGGCAGGGGAGGTTAGCAGTCTGTTACAGTAAATTGAAAAAATATCAAATCTGAAGCAGCAACATTTTGTTTTAGAGCATCTGAAAGGATGCTATAAACAATAATGAAGAAAAGAAACCTACAGTACATACACACATAAAATAAATAATAGTTGACAGAGTAATCTTAAGAAGCTATTTGTACTTCAGGCTGACCTAAAGCAAAATACATTCAAACTGACCTAGAGTAAAATCGTTCCTGTAAATGTAAAAATAAAAACAAAAACGCTGAATAAGTATAGAAACAAATAACTTCTTAAAAGGATTAAATTCTGAGTTGCAAATTGTTCCCAAATAGAGATGAATCAAAGGTCCACACACAGTTATTGTGCCAGAGGATAAGAATGTTTAAATGCTTATTTAGAAACTAACGCTTTTGTGTTGTTTTTAAATCTCACCTCCCCCTCCCCCCCCCCATTTAAGTTTGGTCTGCACTTATGTTGGTTAGGCTTCTATATTTGTGTGCTGTTTTCTCATTTTAGCTGTGATTAATATTTAAACTAAGAACAATTTACACCGTTTTAGCAATTTAAATGTTGATTCTCAAAATAAAGTGCTTGCAAACGCAACTTGTATGCATCATCATTAAGGTGTCTCTGATAACACACAAGATTCGAATTATTCTACTTTAGCAATGCTCCATGTAAACCACTCTAGAGCATTAATTTGTCATAACACCAGAAAGAAGACATGTTTTGTGGGTTTAAAAGATGCTATTTAAAAATATATATATAACAAAGTAGAGGATCTGCAGATCAACCAAACTGAACCCATTTGCTCAATCAGACATGCCCCATTTGACAAGCCACATCACTCCCTGTGGGAGAAAGCAATTCTCATCTTCTTTCAGGGGAGGAGGGTATGGCAAGTACACCCCCCCACAGAGGAGGAATGGAATTTGGCAACATGTTATGATGCTTAGAAAATCAGTATGTCAGTCTTCTCCTTTGAAGCTCAGAAGATTTGGGGGGGGGGGGCGAGGAGGGAGTGTATTAATAGGTGTCAATTATTTTAAAAGCAGTTATTTCTAGCTTGTGGGATACATTGGCTTGAATTGAGACACACTAGTTGGAAACCATACAGAACAAATGGTTAAGGGAGCTTTTCTTGAAGTTCAAAAGATGAAACCAAGTGCCATGTCTTGAATAAAGACATATCACATATACAGGGCATCTCACTAATGTGTTTTGGAAATCTTAATTTATAGTTCCATCTTCTCCTTCAAAGGGGTGACCAAGCCTGCAAATTTCATCCAAGTCTGTCCACTTCTGTGAAAAGGAAAGTTGTGGCCATTTTTAGATTCCCCATTAGAGTATAGTGAACTTGGAGAAAATAAAGTTTCCATTTTAACAGATCAAATGATGAACAGAGAATAAAATAGGGAAGACATTGAGCAGCTCTGAAGCAGACTGAGCTGCTTTCCAAACCTCCATTTACAGATGGAAGTCAAATCTTGTGACTAGTGCGCCCTCTGAATTCAGCCTGACCATGCATGTCTCAATCCTTTTAGCATATGTAAGTCTGATGCCCAGTAGTGTTTTTCTAGCAGATTATTCTATATTAAAGCACCCTTATAGTCACAGTTAATATAAAGCATTTCCCCCTATCAGTTCTTAGTTATATTACATGAATAGAAGAGATACAGTGGCCTTAAATAAAAGAAGAATGATTGCAAACTGACACAAGGCTGTGGTACGACATATAATTAAAAATCATCTATCATCAAAAAGCAGATGAACTATTCAGCACTCCAGTTAAATATGGGTTTTGATGATGGATACACCTGGTCATTTTAGAAATCCATATGAATCTGCAGGGATTTTCCTTATAAAAATGATGTAGCTCACAGTGGCAAGCGACAGCTTGCCATACAGCGTGGCATACAAAGACAAATAAGGCTGTTGAATTCATAGCGATTTATGATCTACCTAAAAGAGGTATAAATTGGCTCATGCTTAGCTGGCGGCAAATGGTACAACTCTTACGTACAGTATCTACTGCTCCTTGCTTAAGCCAAAAAGACATCACTCGTCTGGATAATTCAAAGCACAGATTGTCTGTGTCATTTTTGAGACACAAATGCTCAATGAAACCATTAAATGATGCGAAAGTAAGGTGGGTTTAGTCCTTTGTTGTCATTTCTTACAGAGAATTTAAAGGCAACTTTGTCATGGGGCATTATTTTGAGGTTTTGAGAAGCCAGTCTGAAGCTATTTACTTCATAAGCTCTGCTCTATTGGATCAGACCCAGAGTCTGTCTAGACCAACATTCTATTTCTAACAGTAGCTAGGCTAATACAAGCAGGCTATGAAACCCTTTTACCTGAAGCACATTTGTTGTTGGAGAGGTTGATAGTTACATCTCTGAATTCCACCTAACTCTTGAAAATTTTGATTTATTCAATGCAAGTCTATGCTTTTTCAAAATCTTTTAGGGAATTAGTGTTGCAGCATTCTGGGTATTCTCCAAAAGCATAGACCTGCTGCAATATCCCTTGGACTTCCCAGTTTCGCATGCAATGTATGTTCTGTTCTAATATGCTTATGTAAGGCCAGGGACAAGGTGGGCATCTAAGCTGATTAATTAAGACATTGATTGCTAAATTCACTCCTAATACTTTACAGCAAAACAAAAAACAAAAGCTGGACTTCCAACCTCAATAAGCAACAACAACAAGCACTCTGAGCACATGCTGCTTCACATTTTAATATCAACTCATCATTGGTTGTCCAAACCAATCTACGTTACATGTTGTTCAAACGGTTCATTTGTCCATCACAGCTCTGACTTCATTCATTGGATAAAAACATTGGAAGGTGGGAGCAGCTCGACCACCTTGTTTCACAGAAATCACTTAGAAGGGTAAATGCACATTTTGCTTCATACCTTTCTTTTTAGTGGGGCTATAAAATTCATCTTTTAAAGAGAAGAAAGAAATATCACAGTCTGCCCCACCCCACCCCATTGCTGGGCTGGGCCTCGTGCATCAGTACTTCTGTACTCACCTCTTGGCTTCCCTACTTATCAGTATAACTGAAAACCTGCCTTTTTAATATGTTATATGTAAAGCATGTGGGTAATTGTTAGTCTTAACTCACCGGTACAATTTTTTTCTTTTTTGGGAAACTTTGCCACAGTTCATTTTTCAAAACTCAACCACAAAAATAAAAAAACCTAAAACAATTATTTTCTAAACTAGCCTTTTGCCTAGCTATTTTCCTAACAAAAATTACACTTTTTCCTCAAACAGCATTCCCCCTCTACCCCAGACAGTAGTGAGTCTAAGGCCACTCCATCTCCAACACATGGGTTTTCCACTTCTTTTTCTTTCAGGCTGATATTTCCCTTCTCCCCTAAGCTCTTTCATATTCTTTGTGCTTGGCTGGGCCCACAAAAAATACTTTGCTAAGGCAGTTTAGCCAGTGC